GTGTGTGTGTATGTGTGTATGTCTGCGTGTGTGTGTGTGTGTGTATGTCTGTCTGTGTGTGTGTATGCGTGTATGTGTGTGTCTGTGTGTGTGTGTGTGTGTATGCGTGTATGTGTGTGTGTGTATGTCTGTCTGTGTGTATGTATGTCCCCTTTTACAGTGTTCCCCTCCCGTCAGACTCTATCGATTGTCTTCTCTGTCTGTCTCTCTCCCTCCTCATCTCTCTCCCCTCCATCTTTCTCTCCTCCTCTTTCCCCCCTTCATCTCTCCCCTCTCACCACCCAACCCTCTCTCTCTCTCTCTCTCTCTCTCTCTCTCTCTCTCTCTCTCTCTCTCTCTCTCTCTCTCTCTCTCTCTCTCTCTCTGTGTATTTGGAGACATGCATATATTATGTGTGCGCGTGTGAGACTTTTTTGGCTGCAATGTTAACTATATAAGCGGAAGGCTTGCAACTCTCAAAATTTTATTTATAAGCACACTCCGACGTCGCCCATGATATAGGTCTAGTATAACTCTCCTTTAACCACTGCAGGATTACGATGAGGCGGGAACTTCCCAATTTGACGCACGTCAATGGAATAATCTTACATAGTAGGAAGGTGCCTCAAATCCATACAATGACAATGAAAATGACAATGACAATAATATTGTTCTACATTGAGGAGAAGGGGCTGGGAGAATATTTTTCCAAGATCCTTTCCAAATCTCACTAAATATATTAATGTGTTTCCTGGTTCAGTTATGAAGCAAACAGCCCAGGTAGAGAAAAGGTACTGTCTCATAAGGTAAATCCCACTCAAATATTGCTTTACTAATACCATTCACATCAGTTCAAATCGCATGATTTCCAGGAAATATACCATGTAGGTAGCAGGGAACAAATTCTCTCAACTCCGTGCTTGTTTGACGGGAGCTCTAGTGTGGTTTGCTCCTTCTTTCCTAAAAAGTATCTGTCCTTATCTCTCCTCACCCTTTTAAATGTTTGTTACTCTCTTGTAACACATTTAATCTTCGGCATTTATATGATCTAATTGTGTCGCAAGTGCTATATAACGCTTACTAAAACATAAAGAGTTAACTTCAACGGCGGGTCGAAGAGTTCAAGAAATGTTTGATAAAAAGGTCGACATGCCCCTATGGTCACCGACATAAACCACATATGCACACGAAGTTTCTTAACATCTTGCGGTTATTCTGACGCCAAGACCGTTCGGATAGATAGATAGATAGATAGATAGATAGATAGATAGATAGATAGATAGATAGATAGACAGATAGATAGATAGATAGATAGATAGATAGATAGATAGATAGAGGAAGAAAGACACACAGGGTCGACCCCGGAGGGGGGGAGTAGTGAGTGAGAGAGAGACAGAGAGACAGAGAGAGGGGTATGCGGGGTTAAAAGTAAGAGGGAAATCATAGAGAGCAGAGAGTAGAAGAGAGAAGAGGAGAAGAGAAGAGAAGAGAAGAGAAGAGAAGAAAAGAGAACTGAAGAGAAAAGGAAATGACTGATATATGAACAACACAAACGGGATGGAAGAAGTGTATAGATTAGAAAGGGAAACTTGATTGAGGAATGATCGTGTGACCTTCAACCGAATCCTTAAACTGTTGCAGTGACTGTAAGCAGCATCAGCAAACACCTTTAATACAAACATCATCCTTTGCGTCATGAAAGACTGAAGGAGCTTCCAACTTCGTTCTTCGGACCATTTCTAAATACGCAGCGAACTATTGCCCGGCTCGTGCTGTGCTCTTGGCTTAACTGAGTCAACACGTGTACATACAAGATTACTTAACTCTTGCCGAAGACTCCTGCGACCTGGGGCCAATGTTTATCACCAAATATAATCTTCCTCGTGCACTAATTGCGTGTGGCATCTTGGGAACTCTTGGGTAGGTTATAATTCATCTGAGGCTCGAGTAACTTGATCCATCACTGTACGCGGAGCTCCTACTCTAAACCCTTTAACTACGTCCTAATTAGAACCAAACAGTTTAAAAGCATGGTTCAGTGCAAGGTTAACAAAAGCACACTCTAATTTAGTAGCATCAGCGATATAAAGAAAAGCAGTTATAAGTTTCGATGAGAATATATTTTTTGGAGAAGATTTTTTTGAAAAACAGATCTACCTATCAGTTTCAGATGTATAACCTGGATGCAGAGCCATCTACAGTTATCCAACGGTTGACGAGTAAGAGATACGAATTAAGTTTTTCTTTATAAAATCGAAGATGAACTTGTGGTAACTTAAACAGTAGGGGACGGTTTATTAATTTTCACAAGCAAAGCACAGACTAGCTCCTTATCACAGAGATCCTTAACAGAGAGGCAGATGGTTAAACTAATAAGATTGTATAATAAGATGCAAATTAGATGTATGTAAACAACACTCACTGTATGTAAGCAAAATTTACTGCATGTGCTTTATGGAGACCAAATTAATAAACAACCGGTGTGTTGAAGACTTCTATAATTGACAAAACGTTATAAAATGTCCGAAACAGCTCTGTAAGGCGAAAATGTATCTAAATAAGTAAAACTTACGTTTTGTGGTCACTCAAACCAGACCAGCTTTATCCAGAATAGATCTAGATATTAAGATCGAGTTCTCCTGGTTGAAGCTAACCGAACAGAATAACTCCAGCGGTGTTAACTGAACGTTTCCTCGACGTCACCAAATATAGATCTTACGTCTGTATTTCACACAAACTCAGCTATGAATTCTATACGTTTTATTCCCGTGCCCAAAGACAGTGTTGAAAGCGTGTCGTGGTATTGAGACTCTCAACAGCTGATACACGGATCTCTCGCTGGGTTGTCCTGCCACTCGCACTGGTCCGGAGCGGGGCGAAGTTTGGGGCAAGGGAGAGAAGCAAAACGTGACAGGTCCAGGTAATCCTCACCGTGCGATCAGCTGACAGAGACACGGGAGATAATAATTTGGTACTCGATACTTCCTCTTGATGGGAAAAGCTGGATTCGAGTCTCGATATGTCTTTGTGGATTTTCATTTCCACCAAAGTCATGGTTTTCAGCATTCAAAGGAGAAACATGTGAAGCTCAGTAATGGCCAGTTGGATAGTTAACACCCACAGGCTTACGTGAAGCTAACTTTGAGAAATGGTGTACATCCACAGGGACACTGCTGAAACTGAATTATACTGACCGGCATAAATAACGCGAAAAAGTAACACTATCTGTAGAAAACAAAACTAAGTATTTTCGTGGGTTGTTTTCTTTTGTCTCTATTCACAATGTGTTTTTGTTATTGGATTGGCTCGATTTAAAAGACACAACACGCTCATTGTCCGCTTAAGCATCAAATAATACAACAAAGCAACCCTCTCAACGATACGCAGTGAACCTGTGAATTGAATCGAGGATTTTTGCTCACATGTTAAGTTGGTCTGGCCTATAAATTCTTTGCCCCAAAATGTTTGCTTGGGTGTTGCATAGTCCGACTATCAAGATGCCAAGATTATAATCGGAAAATCGAGAAAGATCTATTGGACGTCTTCAAGCCGGCGAGAGTCCTCAGAAGATGGCCACAGTCCTGAAAGTGCATGCTAGCACTATCTACCGCCTGCAAAATAGATTCAAGACAACCAACGCCACAAAAGATCTCTAAAAAAGCGGAAGACCTCGACTGACAACAGCTGCCCAAGACCGTTTCGTCGGGCGTCAGCATTGCCGAGATCCACGGTTGTCGGCCTCCGAGACAGCCCAGAACACCATGAACGCACTGTAGAGCCCTGAGTAACCGCACCATACGCCACCGACTTGTGGCCTGGGGGAGGGGGGATGCTGCGTTGATGGCGTCCGGAGCAGAGAGCACTCCTGAACGTCCATCATCGACGAGCTCGTCTCCAGTGTGCTCAGAACCGCGTTAACTGGCGTCATCGACGGTGGCAGTGTGTGATCTTCAACGACGAGAGTTGCTTCTGCATGGATCCTGACAATAGACAGGTCCGAATCAAAGACTGGGCCCCATGATCTTCCAAAATTTAGGACCTGGACGTGGCAACGGTGTGACGGCACAGCGCTACATCAACCAAGTCCTGCTGCCCCATGTTGCTCCATTTTGCCAGAGACATCAAAACCACCTCTTTCAGCAGGATAACGCCCGGCCTCATACAACATGCGCTACCTAGCAGTTCCTGGAGTAGAACAACATACCCACCATGCCTCAACTACCCCGATCCCCAGATATGAACCCAAGAGAACACCTTTGGGACATTCAGGAGGTGTGGGTCCCCAACTGCCAAATCAATCGCTTGGCCCAGTCTATGCACCGCCGATGCACTGCTGTCATCGACGTTAATGGGGGCCGTACCAGATACTGACTTAAAAATATGTCCCAAGTTAAAGGACATTGACGATGAATATCAGAATCTGTCCCCAAGCAAATCCCCAACTCTCAAACATTATTTTGTGCAATTTGAGACACCTCAAACCTGTTTCTCTAAATAGAAATATTAATTCCTTCAATTTACTCTCCTCTTCTAGTGTCAAATGAACTCGCATTACTTTTGCCGGTAAGTATAAACACATTTTTGATAACACACAAATATATGACAATACACACACACAATCACTT